GTTGATCTCTCCTTCCCTCTTGTCTTCGATTTGGGAGAAACTAAGGGAACAGGGGATGAGGCTAACTGGGAACACACTTGAAAATATCTTTAAAGCGACTCGAAAATAGCAACATGGAAGACACAGGACCCAATCGATCCGGTCAGATACACGATCAGCAACCAGATAAACGAAGAAAACATGAAAATAGATAATAATAATAAAAAAAATCTCCAGAAATCAAGGAAGAATTCACATGAGATTAAGGTTTTACCCTTCCGAAGCCGCTCCCTCTTTTCTCGGAGACAATGCGTAGAGGAGGCGACAATGCGTGGGTGAGAGAGGTCCTCTCGCGTATTAAATGGCACTGATTCCTATTTTCTCTTAGGGTGCATACAAAGTTCCGTAAAGAAAAATTTATGCGACATGATACGCTTACCTGTCGGATCTCACCAAAGCACCGATGACCAATACCTTGTGAAAGGTCCACGTGGCAGAGTCCAAAAGTCTACCACCTGTCCTTGTATCACCCGTTGCTACACCGACTACGTCCGTCAGTCGGAGACGCAGTGGAACCCAATCACGGTGGGGGAAGCCGGTCGGAACTGTGTGGAACTCCACAAAGCCTGCTTTCTTCCTTCTTTTTTGCATATGAAACTGCTCCGTCAACAACTATATTTATACCCTTTTCTTGTCAGAAAAAAATTTTCTTAACCATTGTAGATAAATCATTGGCCTGCATCGCATCATAATGTATGTAATTAGATTTTGGCTTTGGCTATCAGTGGATTTCATTAGTTCGATATAGTGGAAGTGAACAAGTGTTTGATTCACGTCATGGGGTCAAATTGATCGAGTATGCTTCCTCGCACTCGTCACAGGCATCACCTTCAAAATTAAATGTTGGGAGGGTGTCTACAAATCAATTCCAAGTCTCGTGCGAGGATCAAAACTGAAGTTTTGGATCCTAAAAGTGAAGGAAAATACTATCGAATTAAGAAAAATCTTATGTTGACGTGATGGGTCGGGTTGATTGGATTATATGTGTCGAGTCCCGATATATCAAGAAAATATTGGATAACATGGATGCAGTCCAAGGCTAGATAAACTTAATATAATATAATACCTCCAAACACTGACTAAATCCAAAACGGTGACTTTGGATCACGCCTGCTAATGACCGATTATTACCGGGCAGGGTTCTTGAATTGGATGGAGGTGGAGTTTCTTCACCACTTCAATTCAATTTCCTAACATGTTCACTGCAATCTAATGGAATTACAGCAAATTTGCTTCATTTATATAGATTAAAAACAGAGCTAACCGTATCAGCTGAATGCTTCTACTGTCAAACTGAATAGATCCAGAAAACATTGTTGGTTTTTCCTTGGCTTCTGACATAACTGCTGCTGCTGCTGCTGCTGCTGCTGCTGCAAACCTCTGTGTTCCTTTGTCTATGTATGCCATTTTCTATTGGTCATATGTTGAACATTTGAGATTTTTTTACCAACAAGCATAAGAAATGAAGCGGAGCTCAGCATTCCTGTTGTGATCTTTTAGGTGGAGCTGGGCTGAGGTAGTCTCCATTTAAGCAAAGCCATCTCTCTCCTCCGTGGAAATAGATTTCTTCTATGGACCAGGGAGGAGCCACCTCTTTGTTCCAGGGCCGGTCAACATCCCCGAGCCAGTGATACGGGCAATGAACAGGAACTGCCGCTGTCCCGGCCCTCACAAAGACTCTTCTTGAGGGCGTCAAGAAGACAACAACCGGAACCCCCTCCTTGATCCCAACATCTCTGTTCCGTATATCACAAGGATATGCTTCATAAAGATTGGATTTTAGCCAGGAACGGGGGCTTGGGACTCACAAACACGCTATCATCTGGTGATAGGATCGTATCTTTTCTCATCGGCCAGTTTAGCCTTGTGTGGATCGATCAACAGCAGAGCCTAAACTTCAATCTCAATGTCATAGAAAGCGAGTGGGGACGAGGTGCCAATCTCGACGTATTGGCATCCAAACTAGCAGCCGACCCGTCTCATTCCATCAAGGCTGTTTGCATTGTCCACAATGAGACAGCAACCGGAGTCACGAATAATCTGGCAGCTGTGAGGAAACTTCTCGGTATGTCCGAGATGCTCCTACTTTTCTGCAACAATGGCTTGAGCTTATGCTAACGCTACAACCGTGGCTCTGCAGATGAGTATGGTCATCCTGCATTGGTACCGGTGAATGGAGTTTCTTCCATATGTTCTCTTGACTTGCGAATGGATGAATGGGGAATCGATGTTGCCCTGACAGGGTCGCAGAAGGCTCCGTCGATGCCTACTAGGATGGGAATTGTATGTGCCAGTCCTAAAGCCATGGAAGCTGCTAAGTCAGCTAAATCTGTGAGAGTGTTCTTCGACTGGAATGACTACCTAAAGTTGTACAAAATGGGAACTTATTGGCCCTACACACCCTCCATCCAACTGCTGCATGGGCTGAGAACAGCTCTGGATCTCTTTTTTGAGGAAGGTTTTGACAATGTGACTGCAAGGCACAGCCGACTTGGAAAAGCAACAAGGTAAACAAATAGTTGAGGTTTCGGAAGAACAAACATGCTACATTGATATACTATAATTGCAGATAATTATTTGCTTAAAAGATGATTGATTATATGCAGGCTTGCTGTTGAGGCTTGGGGATTGAAGAACTGCACACAGGAGGAATGGTGGTTCCACCTAGTATTAACAGCTCTGCTGTGGTGGTTCCACCTAGTATTAACAGCGCTGATTATTGTGAAGAGAGCTTGGACTCGTTACAACTTGATCATGGGGCTTGGCCTGAAAAAAGTGGCAGGGAAGGTGTTCAGGATAGGACATCTCGGCAAGCTTAATGATGTATGTCTTCCTTTCTTCCAGCATGGCTTCTTTTCTTCTAACTAGCATCTCATATATGGAATTTGAATAAAGGTACTTAGTTTAAGAAACAAGAAGCATTTGTTGTGTTTTGTATCTATCTGAGGTTACTTTAAACTCAAATTAAGAAACACAAATTTCTTTAGAGATGGCAAATGGAGATATTAGAGTAAAATTTGGATGAAGTTCACACAATAATTCTGCCAAAACATATTCACTCAGAAAATTTATAACAGTAGCAATAATTTTAACAGTTATAATAACCAGAAGAAGAATAAAATATGATGGCTTTAGATTTGATTGGCATGATAATCATTATGGTAGCACTAGAAAAAAAAAGGCTTGTTTTGGGACAGATTACATCATATACAGTTTGTACATATTCCTTTAATGCCACAAATAACTGAATTTTCTTACCTAAAGAAGAAAAAGAAGAAAAAAAATTATTTTTTCTGTTTTGAAGGTTATGTTTTGCTGACTATCATTTTTTGTTGCAATTGCTGACTATCATTCATGTTTTGATGTTTGAGTGGTGTGGAAATGGTACTCAGAGATGTAGGATATCCGGTCAAGCTGGGAAGTGGAGTGGCTGCAGCAGCTGCTTACCTTCAAAACACCATCCCTATGATCCCTTCCAGGATTTAACATCTCATCAATTTGGTTCTATTGATTGACCTAAG